GATCAGCTGGCCGAAAATCGTCGCTTTGCGATGATCGGTTACTGAAACAGGGGATCGATCATCGCAAAGCGAAATTCCCCCATAGGGAACATCATTTTGCGATTGCTTTTGCGATCGCAAAAACATCAACGTAAAGCGATTTCGTCGTCAAACGGAGCGCTCGTAATGCGAGGCACCACTGTACCTACTTTGGGAGGAGGGTAAATGTGAGGTCACCTGGAGTGTGTGGGGCTGAATGGGGCGATGTGCCCTGCCACCTGCGTGGCCTTGGGCAAGCCTCACAGTGGCCCCAGAGGGCTACCAGAAGGAAGGGCCAGGAAGCCACTTCTGAGCACTTTATCCCTAGAAGCCCCTTGGAGGGTCACCGTGAGTCAGAAAAAAGGCCACAGAATCATGACGAATGAATTAGCCACTAGCTTAAGGGAGCTGTTGGGGGGAAAAAGTGGGAGAAGTTTTAAGACTGTGATCCTGAGCAGCATTCCCTTACATGTGCAGAGAAACACCCAGCGTGTTCCGTCATTCCCTCGTCATCGTCTTCCTAAAGGCACTATTTGCATTTAAGAGGTGCTGTCGTCACGGGAAAGACTTTTCTTGTCTTTTCAGGTGAGAAGATGGCAAGCTGGAAGAGGCTGTCAAGTGACCGTCATGCGATGGGTTTAGCACTGGCGACTAAAGGAACAAAAGCTACACACACTTGGAAAGACCAAGCCCTGGGAGGAAAAAACCGAAAGAACTGGTCTTGAGAAAGGAGGGGAGACCTGACCGGTTGTCCTCTTGAAAGGTTGCCCTGCAGAGGAGAGGCAGGACCTGCTCTCGATCAACCCAGAGTTGCAGGACACGTCATGATGGGCTCAAGCGACAGGAAGCCAGATTTCATCGGAATATCAGGGGAAAAAAATGTCTCTGGTTAGAGCAGTACGACAACGGACCCCATGACCTCAGGGGGAGGGGGTGAACGCTCCAACGCTGGAGGCCTTCAAGAGAAAAGTGGACCACCCTCTGTCCAATCTGCTTCGACTTCAAGGCCTGCCTTGAGCAGGGCGGGTTGGACTGGATGGCCTTAGAAGCCCCTTCCAACCACTATTCTTTGATTCTATGAAAACCCACTTATCTGAAGTCAACAGCAGAAATCCCTTGGATTTCTGGAAGATTTCCTGGGTCTTTGGCTTCCCTTTGCCAGCTAACCCCAGCTTTCTAGAAGCCAATTGACGATTCCAGCACAGCGGTACGTACAGGTTAGTTGAGCTCTAGCATTTGCAGATGTCAACAGCAGGGGTGGTCCAGAGCATTAATGTAAAATATCGCAGTGGAACCTGCAGCTGGGGCACCCCTCTGCCAAATCGATTAGAAATTAATTGAGCTTAGAAATGGTCTGAGTCATGGAACCGGACCTCAGAAGGTCCAGAGCATGGTGGGGACATACAGTTTGGAAGGATTGTGTCTTAGCCTAGGTGCAGCTACCACGGTTCTCCGACAGCAAGAGATGACGCATGGCCTAGCAAGCTCCCTTTCATAGCTATGGACCCAAAACTAGCAAAGAAAGGCAGGATTGTATGTTGGGGCTGGAGAGTGAGCTTAGAAATGGTCTGAGTCATGGAACTGGACCTCAGAAGGTACAGAGCATGGGGACATACGGTACAGAGCATGGGCCCATAGCTACGAAAGCTCCCTTTCATAGCTATAGGCCCAAAACTAGCAAAGAAAGGTGGGATTGTATGTTGGGGCTGGAGATAGAGACAGCAATTGGAAGGGCATTGGAAAAGATGCAATCTAAAGTACGTTTCGCTGGCCGGATGGCTCTGTGAGTTGAGTATCTGGCTTGGGAGTTCAATTTCCAAACTGTACCTCCAGGGAGAAGAGCCATCCTGGGTGGCCTTGGGCAAGCTGGACAGTCCCAGGACATCCTTACAAGAAGGGAATAGTCAACCACTTTGGAGTACCCTTCACCTAGAAGAGCCAGAAAGGGGTTGCCATAAGTCAACATGGACTTGATGGCACACAATCATTATTATTAAAATAAGTTGCAGTGTGTGTATAAGTAAAAAAAGCCAGCATAAGAAACTCAAGGTCAGACAAGATATTAAGGGGGATATGTACTCCCCATAATTAATCCATTTCCTTCCCATAGTGGGTTTTCCTTATAAATCCTTGTTCCAAGGATTGGACCTCCAAATGAAGCCCACATGTTCCTTTCCATGGCCAATCATAAAACAAAGCAGACTACATGCAAGATACCTAGGTGAAGAATGCCATGTGATATGACAAATGTCTTTCACTACTTGGAGGAGCATTCCTGCAAGAAATGGGCTCAACGTACATGTCCCTTGACCCTTAGAGAAGACTTTTTTTGTCTTGGCCATTAAGAAGGGGTGGGGGGGGCGACAATAGACATGGACCAGCAGAAGATTCAAAAGGAAGAGCTGGATGAGCAAAGAACAAGAGAGAAACCACATAGGCAAAGAGAAGACTTAAGGATTACAGCCAGCCTGACAAGGCAGAACTAAACCTGACAGCCATACCAGGTAGGGATCAGATTTTTGGACTTGGAACTCCCAGAATTCGCTCAGAATTTGGGGAGAGGTCGCCAAAAATTCCTGCTGCCCATTAGGCTCTATGGAGGCTGACTCCCAAAGAACTACCCTTCCCACCAAGCACCTGGGGGATTTCTTGGTGAAATCCAACAGCCCCATCCCTCATATCCAGGAAGTCAGATGGGGAGTTTCAGACATCTTGAAAGGGGGGGGGCATCTCAGAGTCTCAGTGCCATCTTAAGGGCTGGCTCTTTCTTTGAAGGGGCGAGTAAGTGCTATAATAGCTTTCCCCTTTCTTTTTATTTGACAAGGGATCTTGAGGAAATTCTGGCCCAAATACTAACGGCAACCTCTACATGGCTTCTCCTTTGGAGTCACAAGCAACCAGGGTTGCGGGCTTGAGTCACATGGCTCTCTGTCAAGTCAGACGTAAGTCAAACCAGTGACTCGGCTCAATTTCTGCCCCCCCCCCATGACTCAGATTTGACCTGCGACTCAGAAACTTGTTTTTTAAGAGGGATTTTGACTTGGGACTTGGGACCAAAGACTCAGACTTGGGACTTGGGACCAAAGACTCAGACTTGGGACTTGGGACCAAAGACTTGTCAACAGCCTTGCAAGCAACGCAAACTGGTTCCACTGGTTCCCGGTTACTGAGTGACTAGTGCACCAGGGAGACAAAACAGGGTACGGGCTGGGGACTGGCCCCTTGTTAACCCACCGGATGGGACATGTGAAAATGCACCCGTTAGTTGCAACTGTCTGTCGACATTTCACAATGTATTTGCCCTTCATATAAGAGTGAACCCGGACATCACCAGTGCTCTGTCAAACAGGACCTCGTTCCATCAAAAAAGGTATCCACGGCCTCTCCATCCCCTCTCCAAATCATTATAGGGCACACCTCACTATATCCATACTGAGTTCTTCCCGTCTTTGCCATTAGAACTGCCCTTCTCCGAACTGGCCTTGGGTTTTGCCCCTTGTTTCTCCTGGGCTGTATTGGCTCGGTTCTGCTCCGCCACTGTCCCTCCAGAAGCCGGGCTGCTGGTCCGTGAGGGCTGCCCGTTGGCCTGAGTGCTATTGTAGCTTTGGAAGGCAATGTCTAGCTGCTCCTGAGCGACCCGCAAGTGTTTGTGGAGCGTGGACAAGTCCGGCGGGATGTTCTCATCGGGGCTGGTGCAGTGCTGTTCCTGCGCCACATTGGCCAAGTTCTGCTCGTGGGCCATCAGGCTGTTGGGCACTTTGGCCGGCTTGTCCGATTTCACCACCAGGTTATATTCCGGAGGACAGGAGATATTCTTGGGATAAGCGGCATAGTTGTAGGGCGGCTGCCGGAAGCTGTGGATTTTCCGCTCCCGGATGGCGTCTCGGATGGTGCCGATGCCCAAATGGCACATCTCGGCCACGTTGAGCAGCAGGCAAAGGCAACTGACGACGTACATCACCAAGAGAAAGATGGTCTTCTCAGTGGGCCTGGAGACAAAGCAGTCGACTTCGTGCGGGCAAGGCTGTCGGCTGCAAAGGTAGTAGGGTGTGACTTCGAAGCCGTAGAGCATGTACTGCCCGATCAAGAAGCACACTTCGAAGGAGGCTCGGGTGAGAAGCTGGAAGACATAAATTTTCATCAGGCCTTCCTCTTGGATATGTCTCCGGCCGTCGTGTTTCTGCTGATCCTTCTTCTTCTCTTCCTTCTTGGTTTTCTCTTCTGCTTCCATGATTTCATCCGCTATCATGGGCTCTTCCTCGTCCGGCCCCAGAGGGTCTTCCAGATTGCGGACCGCCTGCCAGTTGAGCGCAAACTGTTTCTTCTTCTTGAACCCTCGGCACCTCTTCTTCTCGTCTTCTGAAGACCGGGCGATCCGGTGGATGGCGTAGCCCAGGTAGATGACGGAAGGCGTCGAGATCATGATGATCTGGAAGACCCAGAAGCGGACGTGGGACAGCGGGGCGAAAGCGTCGTAGCACACGTTGTCGCAGCCGGGCTGCTTGGTGTTACACGTGAACTTGCTCTGCTCGTCGGAATAGATGGACTCGCCTCCGACGGCCGTCAAGACGATCCGGAAGACGATCAAGACGGTCAGCCAGACCTTCCCGACAAAAGTGGAGTGGTTGTGGATTTCTTCTAGTAGGCGGGTGAGGAAACTCCAGCTCATGTTGGTCATAGGGGCTAATCATTTATAAACTGTTCAGAAAGACGAGAGAGAGAGAGAGAGAGAGGAACACCATTAATCCAGATATCTGCCACACAAGGCAGCCATACCATACTTCTTATTAGAACATTGCCACATCTGAAGCATTCTGGATGAACCCAGTCAAATGCCTGCACCACGGTAATCCAAATTCGCAATGACTTACGCCACTCATGTATTACATAAACCATGCACATAAAGTGTGCTTGAATATATTTGCTTCTATGCACCGCAATCAAAGCACAAGGAAGCCATGTGCTCAGGACAACATATGGTCGTTCCAGGAATAAAGCAGACTTCGGATGAAAAGGCTGTAGGCTAGCTGTACCACTTCAGAACGCAAGCGGGGGCTTTCATGGTTTAAAATAATAATATAAGTTTTTAAGAAAACAGAATACTACATTTGGAAAATGACCATATTGTGGAGATGGCCAGCCTGTTCTACTGACATAGTAATAACCCCCCAGAGTGGCCCTCGACCAGACGGGTGGGTATATTAAATGCACAAACAAATACATGTAGGTAGGGTTATGTCTCAAATCCTTCCCGAGATTTGGTATGCGTCACTACCAGCCTATGTTCAGAAAAGTCCCATCAGTTCAGCCCTGACAGCTGGTGATCTGGTCTCTTTTTGAACCGTCCCAGGGATGGGTCAAACCCTTGTAAATATAACTGAACTTAACAGAAAAGGCCCAAAATCTTGGCTGAACCCCAGAGAGAGAGAGAGAGAGAGAGAGAGAGAGAGAGAATTAGGAGGTTGCGCAAGTGGATAACTCAGAGCCAGAGGTTGGGAGTTCTAATCCCACACTGTGTCTCCCTGACAGAGGGTGGACTTGATGATCCAGAGGGTCCCTTTCCAGCTCTGCCTTTCTAAAATTACAGGGTTGATCAGGGGAGGGAACTAGAACTTGAATCTCCAAGGGTCCAGCTCAACACTCTAACCAATACACCGCACTGCCTTTTCTCATCCCTACTCCAGTTAAAAGAAGGGAAGCCTATGCTGTTACCAACACAGAAATTAAGTCAATTTGTGTCTTGACCTGAGCCATGCAGTAAAATACCACTTTTGGCCACGAAGGTATATCCCACCCAGATGGGGCGCCCATGCGTCTCAGTCCAGCCTTTTAGTTATTATTATTCAGTTACAGCCAACATTTCAAGAGGGGCGGTAAATAGATGGGGTGTCACCCATCAGTACTTCTCAGAGTGCAAAATCGGGACATCCAGTCTCTAAGCAGGACTGAGATTTTAAAAAAATCTTTATGTAATGAATCATGTTTTAAAAAATGCCCTTGATGCAAGCAAACAAACAAACAAAAATATCATTGTGTAATGAGTAAATGTAAGGGAAGCTTTGTATAAACTGTGACTAGTGATCCTTAATGGATTTGCTTCTCTTTATTGCAGAATAACTTTGTTGGATGGCGTAAACAGGGGCGGGCAACGTTGTTTTCGTGGCCTCAAATGGCACGCAGTTCCTAGAGACGTGTGATCGATCTGGTACCATCTCCAAAAACAGAAGAAGGGGAAAAAAAGAAAGATGAAATGGGAGTTCCTTCAATATTTCTCCTCTCCTCTGTGTGTTGCTGCGGTTGAAGTTGTGATTCTGTGCTGTCAGGTGGCCTCTGACTCATGGGTCATCCCCATGAACGAGAGATCTCCGAAATGATCCGGCCTCAACTGCCCAGCTCAGCTTTTGGCAAACTCAAGCCCATGGCTTCTTTTAGACAGTGGATCCATCTCCTATGGGGTCTTCCTCTTTTCCTCCTGGCTTCCACCTTTCCCAGCCGGAGTCTGCAGAGGTTGCTGGACGGTGTCTCCCTAAATCCGTAACTCTTCAGCTTCCAAAACCTCCAAAGCCCAGCACGGGACAGGGTTCGTGGCATCTGAACGCCAACCCCATCTGGAGAATTAAGGCTGGAAGCCGATGCGTATGGTCCACCCCAAGAGATCCCCATCTTTTTGTATGGGATACAGACATCTCGTTCACACAGAGGACTAGCTAAGGTTCCCGGATGTCGTCCACCACTGCCTTGGGTCTTCCCAGCGATTCTCAACCTCCTAAATTTTGGGTGGTCTGGATTCTAGCATAGCCAAGGTTCAAGCATGCTTTCTGGATGATGAGAACCCAACCCAAAAGCCACCAGCCCCTACGGGGGAACGTATCTCCATGGTTCCCCCTATGATCCTAATTAGGTATGTCTTAACTCTTCATCTTGATCTAAAAATCTTAATTTAGGACTGTCCTGACAGCTGCCGAGCCATCCGGAAGAGGCGTCCGCACGGCCCCACATGGCTTTCATTTCTTTAAATTATTTATTTATCTAAACAATCGTTATCCCGCCTTTCTCCTTAGAAAGGACCCCAGGTGGCTCCCGTCGTTGAAAAAAGACAATATTCAAAAGCTAAAAGCGGTACGTGTGCAAATATTTAAAAAGAGTTGAGCAAGTATTATATTCAAAATGGTCAATAAAATCAATACTAAAACACATGTTAGAACCACAGAGCGCCATAATCCAGTAAAAACCGCGGACGGTGCAATTCAACCAATGGCTCTGCAGCGCACGATCCGCTCGCCGCTGCTGGCCTAAAACACATGTTAGAACCACAGAGCGCCACAATCCAGTAAAAACCGTGGTCGGTGCAATTCAACCAATGGCTCCACAATGTGCGATCCGCTCGCCGCTGCTGGCGGGAGGACCAGCTTCGTGGCAAGGTCGAAGGGAATACCCCCACCACGAATACCCTCATCTCTCTATTTTTGAGAATGCCTTTTCAAATAAATAAGCCTTCAGGGCAGCCTTTTCCAATCTTCTGGGTGGATTTGGGAACGATGGGAGATGGAGTCTAAAAGGGTTCGTTGGGATGTGCCGTCAAGTCAGAACCAACTTAATAGGACTTTCAAGGTAGGTGGGATATTTAAGGTGGGTTTTTTTAACCAGTTCCAGCTGTCTGGATAGCTCAGTCAGTTAGGTCTCTGGCTGTGGAGCAAGGGGTTCGGAGTTCGATTCCTCCATTGGGTCTCTTGGGAGAAGAGCCAGCCTGGGTGGCCTTGGGCAAGCGGCACCATCTCACAGCGCCCCTAGAGGAAGGTAATGGTAATACACTTCAGAGTCTTCTCTACCTGGAAAACCCTGGAAAGGGTTGCCATTCATTCGAATTGACTTGACAGCACAGAATTATTATTTATTTATTTACCTGTTTCACATCCCCAGTGAGTTTCCATGGCTGAGCTGGGTTTCGAACCCAGGCCTCCTGAGTCCTAGTCCGTCACTTTATCCACTACACCAAATTTGGTTCAGAAATGGTCTAGAGGGCACCATGTTAAGGATGGCTACGTTCTCCAAAACATTGAAGCTTCACCATCATCACAGATGGGACACAAAAAGGTGGCAATCCTCTCTCTACCTCGCAGGGTTGTGGTGAGGGCAGAAAGGATGGGAAGAGCTACGTCTGTCCCCTTGAGCTTGTAACTATGGGTTCAAGCAGCAAGAAGCCAGATTTCAGCTGAATATCAGGAAAAACATCTTAACTGTTAGAGCAGTATGACAACAGAATCAATGACCTTATGGGGAGGTGGTGAGCCTTCCAACCCTGGAGACATTCAAGAGAAAACTGGGAACACCCTCTGTCCGATCTGCTTTGATCTGAGTTTCGAACCCTGGAGGCATTCAAGAGAAAACTGGGAACACCCTCTGTCCGATCTGCTTTGGGTTTCGGCCTTGAGCAAGGGGTTGGGCTGGATGGCCTTCGAGGACCCTTCCAGCTCCATGATTCGGTGGTCCTATACTATCCTATACTCCACTCTCCATCCATGCCAGCCATCCTATTTATTCCCTGGTTCTCTTTCAGTTCCATTCAGTTTATGGTCTGCTGAGACCACAGATAGTCAAGAAAGACGGCGGCCAGGCAAAAAGCAGAGCTTGACCATGCCAGCTGGGGAGGGATTGTGGGAGTTGTAGTCCTAAAAGGCACTTCCCCAAGCTCGAGAAAAGCTGAGAATGAAAAAAAGTCAAATTTTTGGAACATGTCTTTGTGGTGACTTCCACAACATGAAGATGGATGGTCAAACGGTTGGTTGGTGGGTGTTCGGTTGAAGACCAGAAGGCAGAATCTCACAGTGAGGCTTTCAAGGAAAGTAGCCACATCCAGAAGTAGCTATGATTAGTCACAAAACCAACAAAGGGTTTCCTTTGTAGCCGATGAAAGACCGAAACGCTGTGGCACCAGTGGTCAAAGACTAAGAGGGCTCTGCTCATTGACAAGGGAGAAAAAGCCTTATGGAACAGACTGGATTTTACTTAAGAGTAATCCATCTAAATCTAGTTATTCATCCAAATGAGAGGAGGAATAAATAGGAGCCTGATTAAGCAACACGTCTTATATCAAACTCTACTGATGTGATCAAGAGCTACTGTATTTGAGACAAACATCTGGATTTAGGACATTGGGTTTTGTTTTTTTTTTTTAGAATTGTCCCGCAAGAGGCAAATTCGGGGAGAGGAGCTGAATTTCAGGGGGGGGAAAGGACACGCCATGGCTTTTGAGGACTCTGTGAGTAACGGCAGCAAGACCACAGTTACGCTCTCCGTTGCATGGGCAGCTGAAGCTCAGGCAGGATGGAACGAGGTTGTCCTCCACAAGAAAACAGAAAGGAGGGTCGGAGCGATAAAGGTGGCTCCAGATAAATACGTGGATGATCCGCAGAACTTGGAAACACTGGCTGGAGGGCGGTCCTCGCCATGAGACACGAGATGAGAGTAAAGTGAAGACTTCCTCGAAGAAAGTTTTGAAGAGGGAGCCAGAGGCAGACAAAGGCTACCAAATGGGTGCGGATTTAATACCGCAAGTTTTAAAAAACTCTTTGTCCCCTCTTAGCATCGTCTCACCCATGCATGCACTCCAGGTCTTTTTCCAAACCACGTCCTGCCCAAGGCAAAAAGAAAAAAGAAAGAAAAAAGGACAAACAGGGAGAAACAGATGGAAATGTGCTACTCACAAAGACATGGTTTTCCTGGCGTGGGCCTCCCTTGCCAGCGAAGGACCTTAAAGGATGTCTTTCCGAAACCGCCGTTGCTTCCAGAAGGAGGAAACGGGTCTCTCCCCATCAAAATTGGCCTGTCACCCAACTCAGGCTGCACCCGTAGACTTTGGAGCACACATTTGAATGCATCTCCTGCCGGACTCCGCCTTTTCGACCGTGAAGCACCCCACCCACCCTACACATGCCTAAAATGAGGCACCCGCTCAGAGCCAAAAAGCACATCTTTACATGTCTATCGGAAGAGAACAGCCGCCTTTAAACAAAGGTCTAAAAAACCTACAGGAAGGAATTGCAGCACTTATTCTCAGTGGGTTCTCTGGGTATTTCCTGTGTGGAAAAGGCTGAATCAGCCGGGATTTTCACAAAAGGAGCTGGGGGGGTGGGGGGTGGGAGACAAGGCTTTCCTGCCAGTCCTTCTGGTTCACATTGCTGTATTTTGCGATCTCCTTTCTTGAGTGGAAAGCTCAAGGCACCCGTTTGGGGCAGCACCAGTGAACAGATCTGGAAGACGGAAGCATGCCTAATGAGAAACATGTGGCACGCGCATGGCGAGAGCCACCCTGGGGGGAGGGAGTCTCTTTGGAAGAAGCCAAAGCCATTTCTTGGCTTAAATGCTAGGGAAGTTTCTGTACTTTTAGGAAAAAACACAATTTAAGAGACACAGTTCCAGCTTGCGAATGGACGGAAAGATTCGGTGATGCTGCCCTTGATATATTGCGATGGCCTATGGTTTTTAAGCAATCAGCCAATAAAGTGGATAAAGTGGAAGTGGACGCCTGAAGTCCTCCAGCATGTTCGTTTTTTCAGATGTTTTTTTAATCCCACTTTTTTTGCAGCTGAATGAGGAGTTCAGGCAAATGTTTCCACTTTGATGACATCGCTTCCTTAGCAGTGAGTTGCACAAAAGGTGTTGTAGTTAGGGAGGAAGAAAGAACATTCAAAAATTTTGTCCTGAATTTCAGAAGAATGACCGGTGTTCCCCACGCCACCAAAAAAACAAAGATTTAAGGAGCAGAATGTTGCCGAGTTTTGAATATATGGTAAAATTTCTTTTTGTCTACTCAGTAGAAGTACAGAAACCCACAGAAGAGAGTAGCTTCAAGTTCCCCAAAGAGTTCACCCCTTTCTCATTAGGTGGTACTTAACGGTCTCAATAACTCACTCTGACACGTATGTAAAGAAAAGAAGAAAAATGTTTGATTGCTTGCAGTTGCGAACAGATCAACTCAAACTAACAAACAGCCTTCCAGCAGACTAAAGAGAGGGAAAGGGAGCACTCAGCAGAGAGGTGGGGCTCTCTTTGAATTCAGAAGGAGGAATGATTGGTTAACACTCTATTGATTGGCAGTCACTCCAACTACAGGCAGCATGCGAGGCTGTAAAAACTCCAACACAGAATGCCCCCCACTATTTTGTTGCTAACCTACATCAGAGGTGTGCCGATTTGTGTTTTTTTGCACTCCATCTCCCAGAATTCCCATGGAAGCCTAGTGAATTCTGGGAGTTGTTGCCCAAAATCACAAGTCTGCATATCTCTACTACTGATCGTTATCTATAAGCAATGTTAACATGTTCCTGTTTTATCGTTTTAACACTGCTTTGCTGTTTTATTACTTCATTTTCTTGTTACGTCCGGGTTTTAACGTTGTAAACTGTGTTTGGATTGCTCGACATAAAAAGCAGTATAAAAGCTGAAGATGCAAGAATGTGCAACAGGTAAATTTCCTGGCTGCAACTGTCTAGAGTCTTAAGTAAATTCATTTCGGACCTCTTGTTTCTTAGTCTTTTTCACCGGAGAAATCAGGGTATGAATCTGGAAGGATCTGTAAGTAAACCAGACACATTTATCCCAGAGCAATACAAACCCCTTCCTGCTTAAGATGCGGGCAGGGCCTTTGGAATGGGTGAGATGCTACTGAAGATCTGTGCTTCCTCATTGCCTCTGAATCTCTGCCTTTTGGGCTGGAGGTGGGAAGGACAGCTTTTGTAACTTTTTCCTTCTGCTACTCTTGTGGTCAATGGGAGGGAATGACTTAAGCCAGCTTCTAGGTGCCCACAGATGCAGCATTCAAGATCTTTAGCCTGCCTTGTCTCAAATGCCCCTCTGTTTCCAAAATCAATGTTAGGTAAAGGTTCCCCTTGACATTTTGTCCAGTCGTGTCCGACTCTAGGGCGCGGTGCTCATCCCTGTCTCCAAGCCATAAAGCCAGTGTTTGTCCGAAGACAATTTCCGTGGTCATGTGGCCGGCAGGACTAGAGACAGAACGACGTTACTGTCCCACTGAGGTGGTCCCTATTTATCTACTCGCGTTTTTGCATGCTTTCAAACGGCTCGGTTGGCAGGAGCGGTGCTCATCCCTGTCTCCAAGCCATAAAGCCAGTGTTTGGCCAAAGACAGTTTCCGTGGTCACGTGGCCAACAGGACTAGAGACAGAACGACGTTACCGTCCCACTGAGGTGGTCCCTATTTATCTACTCGTGTTTTTACATGCTTTCGAACGGCTCGGTTGTCAGGAGCTGGGACAAGCGACGAGAGCTCCCTCCGTCGCGTGGATTCGATCTTACGATGGCTGGTCTTCTGACCTTGCAGCCCAGAGGCTTCTGCAGTTTAACCCGCAGCGCCACCACGTCCCTGACCATAAAATTAATGTTAGTCCATTGAAAAAAAAAACCAATAACTGAATCTTGTGACACCTTTAAGAAGCTTGAGTCGGCCTGAGCTTCGTGGACACGATCTGAAGGCCAGTGTTCAAGGCACAGAGTCATACACACTGGTTCTGGTGGTGGCAAGGAATGACATTTCTTTATTTTATGGGATACCAAAAAATGTCAATTGTGCTCTTAACACTTAGGCTTACCAGTCCTCCAAATGTTTATGAAGAATCTTAATGGCCAAGATTACAGCCAGCAATCAGCCATTGGCAGGTCTTTAGGACTGCCCTTTAAAAACCATTGTCTGAGTTTGTTTGTATTCTTTAAATTTTTTGCCTTCCACAAACGTAGAGAATAAGAGGTGTGCTTTTATGTGCCTCTGTGTGGGGCATGTGTGTACTGTATGTGTTTTTGTGCATGTCACGTTTAAATAAAGAATGCAGCTGTGGTCTTAATTTGGTATTTTTTTTACCCGAAAGGAAGATCTAGAGATTCTATTGAGAACCTCGTGGCAAGAGTTCCGCACTGAAAAAGCGAATCCGCCGGGTGGATTGAAGCCAACGTCTACAAGAATCCCCAGGAGTCTTGTTGTGTTAAGATGTTCAAAAAGGGCCAGGAGGTCCATCCGCCCCACGAGACAAGAGCGGCTAGACGCAGGCACATTTACAAAGTGGAGAATAAATGCACGGAAAGGGAGTTAAAAGAACGGTGACCTAGATGTAGACAGAGGAAAAGACACTGCGCGGAGAATTAGGAAGACGGTCACGCCTGCATCTATTGTTTCAGCCGCCCGGTTGGGACCCTTTTAGACAGAACGATAAGAATCTGGGAGATTCCCCTCCCTGACACATCATAAAGATTTTGTGTTTTTTTTTTTAAAGAAATAAAAATAAAAAACCCTCTTTGATGGAAGCAGGGTTTAAAAGTGCTTGGTGGGACTGAGAAGTTTTCTTTTTTCTCAAACGAGTCACCCTGACCGCCGGATTGAGGCCCTGTCTTTGAACAGACCCTGAGACTGGGAAGAAGGTCAAGGAACCGAGGCTGAATCCAGGCGAGACAGATGGTTTGCAGGCGCGGGGGGGAGCTACCTGTTGAGGGCGAGGCTACATTTCCCAGAAGGAGTGGATTTGTCCTTCATCTGGCAGCAAAAAGCTTGGAAGAGTTACCGTACTTTTTTTGGACCACAGCTTGGGGGTGGTGGTCACCCAGCTACTGTGGCCAGCGGCCGTCCGAAACAGTCTGCCTTACGTCCCTCGTGGCCAGAGGTCTCCCTGGGCAACTTTCTTGGCTTCGACTTGGACTAGGAGGAACAGTTCGAACCCAGTGCTAATAAGGAACCCTGCAAGGTAGACAAGGATGATGAGCCCTGTGTTGGAGGGAAGCTGAATGCGAAGTTCTCGCTTGGGGCCGTTGGGTGAACCTCAGGGCAAGTTCTCAATAGACGAGCCTCTCAGAACCAGACTGCACATGTCAGGTGGGCATCTAAATCTAGCGGAAATCACATTCGTGTCCCAGAGACGCGACGCTGGCAAGACCCTTCATGTCTGAGAAAACAGGTTTGGAAATGAAAGCCCTTGTTTAAATACAGAAGACCAATCGGGAAACAAGGCTGGGCAAAATACAGACCGTGGGGTGAGAAATCTCTTGCTGTGGCAATCAGACACTTTCAACATTTAAAGTAGGACCCAGGACCCTGTATCCGGAGGGGATCGGATCCAAGCCCCCTCCCGCGGATGCTGAAATCCGTGGATTAGAGCAAATGCCGTTTTAATAGTGAGCACTGTATGTAGGATGGTCTCTGGCCCCCTCTAGTGTCCAGTTCTGGTAACTTCCTCTTTAGAAATAGCTATTTCTTGGATTTTTCTTTTAACATTTTTAGACCAGGGATCAATGAATCAGCAGGCACCAATCCAGTGGATAAGGCGATCCTATCGTATTGTGTTTTCTAATGACATGCTCTCCATAACAACACCGACTAGCTCTCTATGCCGTCTTTTTTTTAAAAAAATCCTGTTTTTTATGTTGGTAAAACTATCTAGAGACAACGCTAAACTAGGGCTATGTTGCAAACTCATTTCTCTATGATACCGGCTCAAATCTTGTTGTTTAGCTTAATAAATTATATAGTAGGGCAATAAATTATATATAAGCAGTGCACTTCAAAAAAATGCACTAGGGTAGACACAATGAGAACTTGCAGAGATCTGGGACTGCCAGAAAGACCAAGAAGTGGGTCCTAGATCAAATCAAGCCTGAATGGTGTCTCTGGAGGCAAAAACACTGGAACTGAGGGCTGTCTGGTTTTGGACACCTCCCGAGAAGGCAGGATTCTCTGGAAAAGACCATCAGGCTGGGAAAGGTGGAAGGCAGCAGGAAAAGAGGAAGACCGAATACGAGATGGACCGACTCCCTCATAGAAGGCACGAGATTGAGTTTTCAAGAGCTCAGCAGGGCTGCTGAGGACTGGACATTTTGGAG